CGAGGGCAGCGGCTCCTTCGCGTTCCCGTCGCCCATCTCACTGGGCGAGGAGGTTCCCCCGCGCAGCGTGCGCACAGAGGGCGAGTGCGCGCTCAGCAAGGGCATGGTCCTATTCAACGGGTCGTGCGAGCAGCTGCTGGCCCGCAACAATTGCGCCGAGGACGAGTGGCTGGTGCTGTTGGAGGGCGTGGCGCAGTGCACGCCGCGACCGTGCCCCTGGGGCAAGATTCCCTTCGAGGAGGACTGCGTGGACCCCCTCAACCTGTCGGTGTGCGACAAAGGTCAGGTCCTGTACATCGACTTCGAGGGCAATTCGGTGTGCGACTGCGACCTGGGCTTCCTGTACGACCCGTCGAACGGCAACTGCAACGCGCGCCACGAGAAGGGCTCCTGCCCCTTCGGCGAGTACGTGGATGTGTCTGCGAGCGGCATGGTGGAGTGCGTGCCCAACCCCTGCGTCTCGAACGGCTACGTGAAGGGGGAGGACGGGTGCTACCGCAAGATGTACGGCGGCTTCTGCGAGGACGCCAATCTGCTGTTCCACAAAAAGAACAACACAGCCGAGTGCCGCAAGGTGGCGCTGCACAACATCCTGGACGTGACCGAGCTGCGCGACTGCCCCGCCGGCTCCATCAGGGACTACCTGAACGTGTGCCGCGAGACCTTCCACTTCTCCACGCTCTCCTCGTACCCCACACTGTACGGCGGCTGCCCAGGGGGCTTCGCGCGCGACCCAAGCGGCACCTGCAGGAAGCTCAGCACGCTCTTCGGGAGGTAACGGCGGCCTCGGCCTTAGGTACTCTTGGCCACAAGTTAAACCGAGGGAAAGAACCTGTACTTTCCTTCTCTATTATTATTATCGTTTCTGCGTTAGTATTTTTCCCGGGAGCACATTTTATAGTAAGAGTCAAACACGCCTTGTAGTTTGAGTGCGGCGGCAGCAGAGGACTACAGTCCCTTGGGAAGGTGTCTTCCACGCCCGGTGAATGTTGTGTGAAAGCAAACAAAGACTTTTTTGTTATAATTTCCAGTATTTGAGATATATATTATTAATCTGTGATACTAGATAAGTGGTTTATATTAAATATAAATGTATAATTGAATATGCCTTTTATTTGGTTGAAGCGGTAGAGTTTCTATGTATATATATGTATTCATATAAATATATAAAAAAAAGAAATTACGTACCTAATGAAATGAATTTCAGAAAGGTTGAAGTGTTCTAGAACTGTCACTAACTAGGGCCCTGCATATGTCATTAGCATATTTTCAATGACTTTTGATGCTTTGCATTTGAGAAGTCATATTACATGAGTTCTATTTTTAAGATTAACTACGGTCAATGCAACTAAAGATTTTATCCAATAAAGGTGACAATAACATTTACCATTTGTCAGAAGAAGCAGATCAATTCAAAATTTTATTGTTTATTATATCATAACATTTAATGTTTTATGATGTACTGATACTTTAACACTTATGAAAGAAATAACACCATAGAGTTCTGTTATTCATACATTTTAATTGCATCTATACAGAAGAATCTAGATATAACAGAAAAGATCTATTACATACTGACATCAACATTAAAGGATAGTTGATTTCAAGATAAATATAACATCTGCAGTTTTTGCATTTAAGTGGAATGTGAATATCTAGTACAAATATCATCTTTATCTTAACAAGTATCTAGAGTGAAATAGGCACTCACATGTACAGAAATAAACACACACACACACACACACACACACACACACACACACACACACACACACACACACACACACACACACACACACACACACACACACACACACACACACACAGTACTTTAGCACAGAAAAGATGTAAACTATTTCCGTTAATAGTCTACAATTGAAAGTGTAATACTATCTACACATCACACTATGTGAGAAAGAATGTAATATTTTGAAAATATATTTGGGCTATGAAAAGATTCTGGCCTTACACTTTCCCTAAAAATGAGTATGTCGTCCTTGAGGTACTAAACCCTCATCACAAGACAGAGTAAGTGATTTCTATCCATACTCAAAGGAAAGAAAGTTACAGGGTCATCATCAGGACATGATGCTTGCCCGAAGAGAGTAATACAGTAGCATCTACATGAAACAATTCAAACCCATCCTTCCACAGCTGCCTTCTGTCTCCAGACGGACATGGTATGCATGTACATGCCATGCACTATGAGTTTACTTGTTTAATATATATATATATACATATATATATATACATATATATATATATATATATATATATATATATATATATATATATATATATATATATATATATATATATATATATATATATATACATATATATATATATATATATATATATATATATATATATATATATATATATATATATATATATATATACATATATATATATATATATATATATATATATATATATATATATATATATATATATATATATATACATACATACATACATACATACATACATACATACA